GGGCCGCGGCGCCCCTCGCAGGCAGGCGAGCGCCAGCGCGCCCCTTCCCGCTCAGCTCCGGCGTGACGACATGTGGGGTTTTTTTTTCCCCCCTCGGCTTTTTTTTTTTTCTTTTTTGACGGCGTTCGTGCGGCCCCACCGGGTTAAGCCGCTGGCGAAAGTCTTAAGTGAACAAGACGTTTCGCGCCGCTGAAGGGCCAATATCCACCTCGATTCAGTAGTGTTACTGCACGATAATGCAAATGTATTTCGTCGAGGACGCAAGGCAAAATATAAACAAAAGAGCTAATAGTCTTAAAGTAGCTTTGCTGCATCACAGAAACCAAAGGGCAGAACACAACTGATATCCAAGAGTACTTTCTGCTACTGAAGAATGCTTACTCAGAGAGCAACTCCCATTACGTTCAACGGGCCTACCCTTGTGAGAAGCCATTCACACCGTATATTAATAAACCACAGTCTATTCTAGACCACAGATAAGAAATAACTTCTTAAGTCATCTGGTTTTTCAACTTCTGTTCACTGGAGTTTAGACTATGTCAAAATAGCCCGTGAAAGATGACTGATGAAAGCAAAAGTACACATGCTGAAGAGCAACTTGCATACGGATTTTTTTTAAAGACACAAAGCCTCACTTCAAAATTTTCAGATGTTCAAATCCTTGTACATATGGAACCTTGTTCCCTGTCATCTCACATCTGTTTACCTAGCCTCTTAACAAATAATCTAAAAGGCGAGCCTGTAAGACATCTTCCTCCATCAACAAATCATAATGTAACGAATCAATTTTTGGAAAGTTTCTTCAATAACTCTTTGTGACCCAGGGGCTATTTTCCTAAATTACAGGTTATTGAGTTCCAAGCAGGAAAATAACGGAGATAACATCTCCTGGGAGAACATCCTCACTAGTCCTGGCATATGGCGATACCAGCCCTAAAAATCATACTTGCAATGTAGTGCGAGACACATCCGAAGTCCCACAACACGCATGCATACCCAAGATTACAGCCCTCCAAATGATCTGGATACATCATCTGCAAAGAAGTTAAAAGTACCTTCTGGCTGTGAGTCTACCTTGAACACTACACCAGCTACCCTTGGGTACAAGCACTATGCTAGCAAAGCAAAGCTCTTCATGACAGACCTAAAAACACGCCTATGTATTTATATGTGCATATACACCTATAGTTGTGTATCTTTCTGTGTCCTGACCGTCAGTCCTGGCCTATCTGCTATGTTTCTTCACAGAAATACCCAAAGGTCAGCTTGCCCTGAGCTTCCTGTCTTTCAAAGCCAACTGGGTTCAGAAGCTTCCTCGCCCCAGTTTAATTCCAGGGTTATGACAATGCAGCTATGTGCAGAGGCACCTTCACAGCAGTTCTCTGAAGCCCTCAACTCTCCTTTCTTACTGCTAGAAAACTTTAGAAGATGCCTATCATACTGTGCCATATCAGCTCCTGCTTTGCAATGATGCAAGCACAAGCTTGCTCTAAGCATTTTGCAAGGCAGGGATGTACAGAGACTCTCTGATATGCTGTTTCTCATAGCACACTCACTATACATATCCAGGATCATTGAATTGCTATCCTTCTCATTTCTCCCCTCCCAGACAGCACAAACTATACTATGAATTTGTTTATGGCTTCACATCACTTAAAAACTACATGTTATACAGGACACGCTCTCAGAGCTCCAGGATGAACTGCAAATAAATGTAGTTGACTTGGCATTTAGAGGATTCAGAAGTTTCCTCCTCCTTTATCAGCTTTGTTGGTTAAGTTCATCACAAGCTAAATTTTTTTTTTCCATTATTCTCCCTTACATAAAAAGTAAACAAACCTGCCAAACCTGTGATTTTAGAGTTATGGTATCAGAAAGTTCTCTCAGATAATGATCAGTCATAAAGAACTTTATGCAGTGTAGCAACTCTCACTGGCTTCCATTCAAATTTATTTCCCCAAAATACAACATCACTAAAAGCAAAGATAATATTAGGCTCAACAAATGAGCTTTTTTCTTTTAACTATTCAAGCAATGAATTATTATAACTCTACTACACAAAATTCAAGTCTCGCAATTAGGCTTGAATGAATTTACATTAATTTCCATACGGGTTAACCTGAAAAAAAAACTAAGTGAATGTGTTCCTATAAAAATAGATGCATACATACATTTTGTGTAGAATAGGGTGTTTCATATGTTATCAAATAAGTCTTTCATTCTGAGTTCACACATGCTAACTTCTTTTAATAAGGGATTTAGAAACAAAGATTAGATTCACAGAGAACTTAAGAACATTCACAGACTAAGTAGATGGAATAAATTGTTGACTTCCTTTATACTCATTCCCTTCTCCAGTTTTCCATAGTTCAGAGATGAGGACAGTCATCAGAGATGAAGATCAAATTTCTGCCTAACGTGGAAAAAGGTTTTGCGCTTGCCTGTGTCTCAGAGGAGTACCCTAACCACAGTGGCATGCCCAGGCCATAGCCATAACCAGGCTCCTGGATGTTCTAGTGTAAACTAATAGTGCTAACTAAAATGAGAATAGGTCTCTGGTGCTCCCTGCCCAGACAAATCACCTATTAGCAGATTTTTCTCTCTCTTATTTCTATATAGGATACCAAAGAGTAGATGTAGCTAACAGACGTAGCCTCAACAATTTGGTAATGTTGAAAACAACTTACCTGGCATTTATAAAAATACATATATTATACATATACAAATAAAGATATTCTTTCAGCCACAACAATTTTGTGAATGTGATATAAATTTTCAAGTAGCTTTAGCTTGCCTAAATCTTTCTTTTTCAGCAAATCAGTGATTCACCAGCAAGTATACGCATAAATATCTTTTAAAAAAATTCCCCACACTCGCACAATTCTACTTACAAGATCTCAGCAACTTTTCTCAAGAAAAACTTTTCTCCAGATTCTCAGCAACTATTTTTTCACTTGTGTGACAAGAAAGCGGACTGAGACTATCATATTCT